ACAGGTCAGGGGGAGCTGACAAAATATTTTTAAATGACAAAACTATAGGCGAGTTTCAGCTGACGTCATTTTTATTAAAAGCCCACGTTGCTGCTGGGAAATATTTTGGTTGGAGGCAAGAAACACTGTAGCGTCAAAACACAGTGCGTAACCTCACGTATTTATCCCCGATAATGGTAAATTCCTGCTGCATTATCGGATGCACAAAATAGAAGCACGGAAGAAGGAAAATGTCTTTTTCGTATTCTGAGTGAAAAGAACCGCTAACGGTGAATTAAACGGATTTCAAACATTCGCAGAGCAAACGTAGAAGATCCTAACAAACCGTGGACTCCAACAAGTTCAACAACACATCGAGACTCTTGGAGGTTTTCATCTTTTCTGCTGTGAATGGCCCAGGAGTTTCCACCAAGTCATTGTGGATATCGCCCAAGTGAATATTTGTCCAGGTAGTTGGTGATTCTGACCAGAAATTTGGTTTGGTCCACCTTTTGTCGGGGTTGAAAAGGGTGATTTGTCGTCCGTCGATGCTTATGACCAATTTCTGGTCAAATGGTCTTGGGTCCTCTGCCGTTAGAGTGGATAAATAACCGGGATCAATACCCTTTACGTGCTTTCTCGCTCCGTCCGTCATGTTGAGTTAGTGTTTATTGCCGCCGACCAAAATAATTCCCAGCATGCAACGTGCGCTTTTGTCAACAATGAAACTCGCCTATAAGGAGTTGGGAGCTAAAATTTGGGACTTTTTCTATTGGAAAGTGTGTGAACCTCCTAGAATTTTTTCAGTCAAATCTGAGATGGTCGAGCGGGGGACATTCGGAGAATTGGCATGGCGTGACTCTTAAGAAAAGAAACAAGTGTGCAGATTTCCTCATGAGAAAACTGTGATGCCTAACGGGAGCTGACATCGCCGTAAACATCATCACCCCCAGGAAGAAGAAAACATTTCGCGTCCTGATTCATCAACCGGTTTCACGTTGTGGAAACCGTCTGATTTCGCAGCATAAAGGTTCATTCGCTCAACAGTAGGCGGGTACTTTTTTAATTTAACCAATCGCTGCTATTTGGTCGTGATGTATGTAATGCGCCAATAACGTCTTTCCCCTTGATAAAATTCACCAAACATTCTCTTTGTTCCGGCTTAAAATCCTCAATCTCGGGAATCGTTGCCAACACAGAATGTCTGTCTTTGTCTACATCCATCTCGACGCTTTGTTTATTGTTGTGCTGAACCACAAAAGGGACCCAGATGGCTTCACAGCTTCCTGGGGTTCTTGCAAACCGTCTAGTGTATTCTGATTCCTGACCTTGTCTCTTGAGAGAAATGAAATTGAGCGGAGGCACTAGGTGGCACCAGCCTGGCTACATAACCACTACCGAACATGGAAAAATCGCACCACCGCCTTCAGTCGCCTACATACGAGAGTAAATGTTTTAGTCGCGTCTCCAAAGCGACTCCTGGGACTCGCTGGTTTACTGAAGCGGCATTCACAAAGCGGGATGATTGCTGGCAATATTCGGCATGTTTTCGCTGAAAAAACTCAAGCGGCTCATCAGCGTGATCGGGGTGTAATGACTTTAAGCGGCGCCGTAATTTATTTGGCTCCATGCTGTCCGCTGCCAACATTTGTAGACACAGTAAACACAGCGGTCTTTCCTCGTTTCCCGCCGTAATCACAGTGAAGACGAGCGCAACAAACGCTTTACATACAGTTTGTTCTCTGCGCTTCATATCTCCTGCTCTGTGCTGGGTGTGTGCGTGTGCTTGGTGCAAAAAAACAACGAGAGCGTCACTGCCAAGTACTGTAGTGGATGTGCAATTACGCATGTTCCCCAAGGTCACACGTACCCCCCAGCATCCCACCATGCCCCACGATTTGAGAAGGACTAGTATAGCTGCAGATTATTGGTTCTATTATCCAATCTTCAAGCAAAATGAGCCTCATGTGACTCTCTCATTTGGGTTGCCAGGTTCAAAGCTGAAATGCAGTGTGTTTAAACCTAAAATGCTTCTCTCTGATCTGAACGGTCACTACTAGAGGTTTAAGGATATCCAAGTCTCAGGATACGATATTTTCACGATATACATCTCATGGTACGATATTTATTGTGATATTTTGTGGAGGCTGAACAAAACTGTTAAAATGCCTTGACAAGTCTTAATCCAAAGAACTAAGACTTAAAAGTGTTTAAAACTGTTATTTCTTCTTGTCGTCTGCACTGAAATGGAGCAAAGGATCATGGTCTATGTAGTTCCCTCTGTTTTTTTTTTTTTTAGCAATTGCTGCACCAAAACTCTTAAAGGTCCCATCTGATGCAAAATAACTCTTTTCACATTGTATCTTCTGCACATAAACAAGCACAATTTGGGTTTTGGAACATCCATTACACAATAGTTCTGAAATCTTACTGATTTCTTGGAGACAGTCACAGACCAGGAACTATGAAAGTCTGACTATCGCTCACCCCCCCGCCCGTCCTGAGAAAGCACAGGCTCCGCCCTCCAAACGTGACGTAGGCTCTGAGTGAGCCGCCCTTCCTCCGCCATCTCAGGGAGGGAGGGGGAGACAGACGTGACCCTGATAGTGGCAGGAATAAACTTTTATTCATCGTGGAGATACAGCGCTTTCAGCCGCATGTGTTGGACCCGGAATCGGACGAGGACTTTGAGGAGCACGAAGCTCAAGCACCGCGTCCACATCAACTGAACATTACTGATTGCCGATGCGGGGTGAAGGTGGTGGAGCGTGGTGGGTCCGAAGCGTTTTCTGTTACGTCAAACACGTCATAGGTGTATCTGCCGCGTCATCGTTGTAGCAGCTTTAGTTCGTTGTCTCATGGGAAAGTGGCAGAAATACGCTGCAATTTGTACAAAAAAAATGCCGAATCAATCTAAAAACCACTTCGGAAACAAATCCAAGGCCCACACATCACTCTGAAAAGGTAGAAAACTCTGAAAAGTTGATTTTGCATGAGATGGGCCCTTTAATTTAAGCAAAGAGACTTGTAATTTTGATATATTGTGATGGTCCACGACATTATTGTAAGAACTTTGACGACATCACGATATTTCGGTTATTGTTACATCCCTAGTTACTACCTACACCCCAGCACCCGCAGCCAAACATGAATCAGTGCCAGTGCAGCTTGTTAGACGCTGGCAGCACAGGTTCCATTGTGACTGCAGTGATTCTATGACCATATACAGTATTCACTCTGCTTCCTCTGTCTAAAACTGTGTGTCATTCGTTTTTCAATATAAAACCAAAAATAAGAAAACGAAAAAACAACTGTTTTCTTCATTATTTTTCTCCAAAACCAAAATGAAAAAACGTATAATGATTCGTTTTTTCAGTTTTTGATTTTGTGTTTAAATGAAGAATGGAAAAAACAGATAACGGCCGTTTCCCGTTTACGTGACTCCCGTGATTGTGATGCCGAACTTTTGCGCTGCATACAGACTGAACCAGGACTGATCCAGGTCTGGGACCAGACCGGGACCAAACCGGGTCTGAGACCGGGACCAGACCAGGATCAGAGCGAGACTGAGATCAGAACTGAAACCGGGACCAGACCGAGACTAAGACCAGACCGGGACAAGAGCGGGACAGAGACCGAGACCAGACCGGGACTGAGAACGAGACCAGGCCGGAACCAGACCGGGACCAGAGCGGGACAGAGACTGAGACCAGGCCGGGACCAGACCGGGACCAGACCGAGACTGAGAACTGGCCGGGACCAGACCGGGACCAAACCAGGATCAGGGCGAGACTGAGATCAGAACTGAAACCGGGACCAGACCGAGACTAAGACCAGACTGGGACCAGAGCGGGACTGAGACCGAGACCAGACCAGGACCAGACCGGGACAGAGACCAAGACCAGACCGGGACCAGACCGGGACTGAGAACGAGACCAGGCCGGGACCAGGCCGGGACCAAACCGGGACCAGACCAGGATCAGGGCGAGACTGAGATCAGAACTGAAACCGGGACCAGACCGAGACTAAGACCAGACTTGGACCAGAGCGGGACTGAGACTGAGACCAGACCGGGACTGAGAACGAGACCAGGCCGGGACCAGACTGGGACCAGACCGAGACTGAGACTGGGATTGAGACCGAGACCAGACCGGGACTGAGAACGAGACCAGACCGGGACCAGACCAGGACCAAACCAGGACTGAGACCGGGACCAGACCAGGATCAGGGCGAGACTGAGATCAGAACTGAAACCGGGACCAGACCGAGACTAAGACCAGACTGGGACCAGACCGGGACTGAGAATGAGACCAGGCCAGGACTGAGAACGAGACCAGGCCGGGACCAGACTGGGACCAGACTGGGACCAGACCGAGACTGAGACTGGGACCAGACCAGGATCAGGGCGAGACTGAGATCAGAACTGAAACCGGGACCAGACCGAGACTAAGACCAGACCGGGACCAGAGCGGGACTAAGACCGAGACCAGACCAGGACCAGACCGAAGGCTCAGAGCCCACGGCAGGGCCAGAGCTTGAAGCTGAGACAGATCCCGCGGAGGCTCAGAGTCAAAGCTCGGAGTCCGCCCTGGTCCCACTCTGCTCCCACTCTGGCCCCTGGTATGGTCCTGGTGTGGTCCCGGTCTGGTCCCGGTGTGGTCCCGGACCTGGATCAGTCCTGGTTCAGTCCGTACGCAGCGCAAAAGTCTGACATTGCAGTCACGGGAGTCACGTAAACGGCCATTATCCGTTTTTTCCATTCTTCATTTAAACATAAAATCGAAAGCTGAAAAAACGAATCATTATCTGTTTTTTCATTTTGGTTTTGGAGACAAATAATGAAGAAAACAGTTGTTTTTTCGTTTTCTCATTTTTGTTTTTATATTGAAAAACAAATGAACGAATGATACACGGTTTTGTGTATTTTGTTCACCCTTATGAAGTCTTGTTTTCCGAGTGTTTGTCCCTAAACACGTTTTAATCTTTATTGCCCCTAAACACACGACTTTTGTTTCTTTCAGGTTCTGTTCCATTTGCACAAAAAGATGAAAAACATGTCCAAGAAGTCTGAGCGCTCCAAGAAAAAGGTGAGCTCACTTCAGCCGGAAATTAAACTCATGAGATTCTGATCACTGAACTCGGGGTTATGTACGTCTGTGTTGAATCGTTCGCTGTTTCCTGTTTTCCTTTGGTCTCTAAAATGGCTCCTCAGAATCTGAACCGTGAACTCCATAAATGTTTATTGAACTGGTTTATATTGTAATCTGATGTAAGCTTGGCTACCGAGATTAATTCCTAATACAGCATGTTTGAGAGTTCGCGAAATTTCAAATGTTTAAATTAGGATTGGGCTATTTTTAGCGTGTGTGCGAATGGGCGAGTGGTTTCTTGACGTAAAACGCTTCGAGCCTTGAAGGTTGAAAAGAGCTTTATAAAACTGTGACCGTGAGCAGAGTAAAGAGTCATCAAAAGTGTCAAATATATATCAAATCGGGTTAAAATGCTCCTTTTGAGACTTTTCTAAGAAGTCAAACCTCGAAGAAATGAAAACACGGAGTATCATCGAGCTGCTTTTTCTTTCTTCGATTGAATTTTCGAGAAGTAGAAGCAGTTTTTATGAGCTGCTTTGAGTGGTGTTTGAGGGACACGGCCTCGTCAAAAAACTCTCCAAGTTTTCTTATTTTGGACTTTGTAGAGGAGCTCGGGCCTCAGTGTTGTTTGATGATGGGGATCGCGCTATCGTTTGGAGAATCTCAGACCTGGAATTGCCGATCTCGACTGAACTGAAGGTGAAAGGAGACGTTAACTTGAAAACTACAGCTTCATGACATCACAAGGTGGAACAGAGCATGTGGATATATAGACCGACTAATAATCAACAGGGGTGTAACGGTGCAAATATCACGGTTCGGTGCGTACGTTGGTTTTGAGGTCACGGTTTGGTTCATTTTTGGTGCTACTAATTGTTTTAACATTATACAAATGGGAAAATGAAATAAATGCAAAGAGCCTCAGTCGTGGTCTAAGTCCCGTTCTGGTCCTGGTCTCAGTCTCAGTCCTGAACACCTACAGGCTGTCCAGACACTCCTGTTTTAGTCCCGGTTTAGTCCTGTTTTAGTCCCAGTTTAGTCCTGTTTTAGTCCTGTTTTAGTCCCGGTTTAGTCCTGTTTTAGTCCCGGTTTAGTCCTGTGTCGTATATCAGCTGTTGTTACTTCCTGTAGGCGTGGTCAGCCTGATGGACCTGCCTACAGGAAGTAACAACAGCTGATATACGACACGTCACCACCAACACCGGTGACAGTTCTGAAGATGACTTGCAGCTAGCAGCCGAAACATGTCAACAAGGTAAATACACTTTACTGCATTGTCTTTAAAAAGAACCTAAGAAGTTAAAGTATATAAGAAGACATAATGAACATCATTGGCTTAGGTGTGACCTTGTTAGGTGGAATTAGATCAAAGTGATCCCAACCCATGGATCGCTTTTTTCCACTTGTAGACGCCATCGAAAATGAAACAAATGCCACAAGTCGCCAAAATCACCACTAACGTCACACAATCCTCCTCACTACCAACATTTTTAAGAAATATTGGAGCATCTTTTATACTGTAGCAGTTTAGCTCTTGTCAAACCACAGAAGTGCACTGAACACTCTGAAACACTCTGAACCAATCGCAGAGCGGAACATTCGCTGAGCCAATGAAACGCTTCGATACACTGAAGCGATCGACACGCAGAGCGAAGCAGTCGGGGGAGGGACCGACACTTCCACACTTTGGTCACGTGAGCAGCTGCTGCGAGTCGAGCTCCGAGGCAGAGCTCCAGAGCGATTTGTTTCAGAAAGAACGAGACGTGCTCCGGAAGCTCCGACTCATTCGCCCTTCACTACTGTTTGGAAAAAATATTGGAATAAATTTATGTTTTTGTTTATTAAAATAAAATGACAAATATCAGTAGGGACTATTTTGTCTTTTCCCAAATATTAGTTGTGACATGTTCCCACCGTCCCTGTGCAAACCTACGCCCTTGTCAGACAATAGGAACATTTAGGAACATTTTTTGTAATTTACATCATTTTATTGTAATTTACATAATTTTAAAAACACTTGAAGCCGTTCCAAGAGGTAAGTGCTCAGATTACTCAGATAAAAAACCCTGAACTGAAGATTTGAGTTTGAGAACACAAAGTTTGGCCAAAGTTATGTCATCCGTAAGAAAGTGGTCTGAGTGTGACTGATGGAGGTCGCAGCTTAAAAGCTTCTGTAAATGAAGTATTGTTGCTTTTACCTCGGTGGGACGGAGATCCAGGGGGGGTCCTGAGACTTTCTGTTTGGATTTTGCACATTCTGGAATAATTAAAAAATCCACACACTGTTTTAAAATTTTTTGGATTTGGATTGATTTATTTATTTCATGTTGGGAGCTTTAAAACAGTGTGCAGATTTTATTTTTTTATTATTCCTGTTGATCTGATGTTGTTGGTCCTGCGCCTGTACTTGGCTGATGTGACCGCATCCTTTCTTCTTTTGGATTTTGCATGTTCTGCCTGTGCCTGGGTGGATTTTAGGTGCTTTAGTCTTGGTTTAGATCAGGTTTAGTCTTGTTTTAGACCTGGTTTAGTCTTCTGTGATGGTTTAGTCCTTTAGTTTTACTTTAGTCTTGCTTCGTTACTGCTTTAGTCCTGGTTTGATCCTGGTTTAGTCTTGCTTTAATCTTGCTTCGTTCCTGCTTTAGTCCTGGTTTAGTCTTGGTTTAGACCTGGTTTAGTCCTGGTTTAGTCCTTTAGTTTTACTTTAGTCTTGCTTCATTACTGCTTTAGTCCTGGTTTGGTCCTGCTTTAGTCCTGATTTAGTCCTGGTTTGATCCTGGTTTAGTCTTGCTTTAATCTTGCTTCGTTCCTGCTTTAGTCCTGGTTTAGTCCTGCTTTAGTCCTGATTTAGTCCTGGTTTAGTCCTGGTTTAGACCTGGTTTAGACCTGGTTTAGTCCTGGTTTAGTCCTTTAGTTTTACTTTAGTCTTGCTTCATTACTGCTTTAGTCCTGGTTTGGTCCTGCTTTAGTCCTGATTTAGTCCTGGTTTGGTCCTGGTTTAGTCTTGGTTTAGTCTTGCTTTAATCTTGCTTCGTTCCTGCTTTAGTCCTGGTTTAGTTCTGGTTCACACATATAATCTCAGCATTGTAGTGTGTGCCGCTTCAGTCCTGGTTTAGACCTGGTTTAGACCTCTTTTAGACCTGGTTTAGTCCTGGTTTAGTCTTCTGTCCTGGTTTAGTTGTGGTTTAGTCCTTTAGTTTTACTTTAGTCTTGCTTCGTTCCTGCTCTAGTCCTGATTTAGTCCTGGTTTGGTCTTGGTTTAGGACTGGTTTTGTCTTGGTCTAATCTTGATTCATTCCTGTGTTAGTCCATGGTTTAGTCCTGGTTTAGTCCTGGTTTAGAGGTGGTTTAGACCTGGTTTAATCCTGGTTTAGTCTTCTGTCCTGGTTTAGTTGTGGTTTAGTCCTTTAGTTTTACTTTAATCTTGCTTCGTTACTGCTTTAGTCCTGGTCTGGTCCTGCTTTAGTCCTGCTTTAGTCCTGATTTAGTCCTGGTTTGGTCCTGGTTTGGTTTAGTACTGGGTTAGTCTTGCTTTAATCTTGCTTTGTTCTTGTGTTAGTCCATGGTTTAATCTTGGTATACTCCTGCTTTAGTCCTGCTTTAATCTTGCTTCTTGTCTGCGTTAGTCTTGATTTAATCCTGGTTTAGTCCTGGTTCAGTCCTGGTTTAATCCTGGTTCAGTCCTCGTGTCTGAGTGGCTTTTCTCTCTGGTTAATCCACTTTACCTCAGTGACCCTGAACATGCAGATGATCCTCTGACAGGAGCTCCAGACCATGACCGAGCTCAAAGTCCAGAAGAGACCTCCTCCATTTTCCATCTGGGGTCAATATGTGGTCACGGTCCTGAATTTGAAGATCTTAAAGTTTCAGAACGAGGCCAGACTCTTATGTTATTATCTTAATTTGACAAACTCTGGCAAAAGAAGTGATTCAGTTCGTCAAGTGGATAAAACTTTATTCTGGTCAAATACGCTTCTGGTCAGACGCTGGTGGACACTTTCTTATATCTGCCTGAAGGGAGGAGCTAACTACACTGAAACTACTCTGAAACTAACACTCGGACTTGAAGCCTGTGACTTGAGAAGCATTTTTAAATCTGAATTTGTTTTATTCTGACCATAATGATTCACTCTGAGATCTTGTCAAGACATTTAAAAAGGGAAAAACTGCATTTCTACAACTTTTACATACTGTAAATTCCGGACTATAAGCCACTACTTTTTTCTTCACGTTGAACCTTGCTTCTTATACAATGATGTGGTGCATATAGGGACAGATTCTTTATTTGGCACATTGTCCATTCATATAAATGGCCTATGGTTTGGTAACACAGCAGATACACGTGCAGCCTGAGTGCAGAAAACTCCACTGTGTGTGCGGTTACACATGGATCTAGAGTTCACGTGAAGGTGCTACATGACCTTGCGATATTGTCAGCGCACTAATACAGTTTATCTCCGTGTGATAAAATAAGTTCTGATGCTAAATGAACATTAGTGAGGAGCAGTGTTGGGAGTAACGCGTTATAAAAGTAACAAATTACAGTAATGCATTACTTTTTGCTGTAACGCAGTAATGTGGCATTACAGGGGAAAAAATATTTTACTCGGTACAAATGTGAGTAACGCGCGTTACAGTGTTTTTTTTAACCTGGATTGAAGTGGTGGGTTTTTCTTCATACAAATTCGCTAAAATCACCTCGATATCAGCAGCAGTGAAACACCGGAGACACGCCCTCGTAGACCGTCAGGTGACCGCGGGCGAAAGGACTGACAGAGAACTCCACGCTGTTTAGACCTGGTTTTGGTTTAGACCTGGGTCAGTTCTGGTTTAGACCTGGTTTACACTCGTCCCTCCCTCTATCGCAGTTCACTTTTCGCTGTCTCGCAGATTTTTTATTTATTTATTTTTTTTTGTGAAGTTTTGCATGCCCTGTTTTTTTTTTTTACATTGTATGAATGTGTATTGCGTTCCTCCCGCTGCGTCCTGATTGGCCA